ATGGGGTTTGGCACTTTTTAAAACTTCGCTGACCAGGCCACTAAGGCATGTCATCTACTATTACAGAATTATACCATCAGTTATTCGCTGCCATTGATCGAGGTATAAACGATGCTCCTCTTAGATTCCGCCCCACCAGTCTCTCTCTAAGTCTCAGGCCTGGATACTTATCGCACACGCACATGCCACTGTGGATAGAGAGCGAATGAGCTACAGACATCTGGAAAGGGCGGCGGAATCAAGTGAAAATTTCTTGGAGAAGTTCGGTTAAGAGAGTGGTGTTAAGGGAGTGTATGTCTAAGGCTGATGAGTTAGTCTTTGGGGTCTTTTATCGTGCTCACAATAGTTATAAACTCAATGTGACTTCAGGTTATTCACGGGGTTATTGACATATGAACAGTTCGCAGCGAAAGCTGATATGGTCTTCGAAAGTACTCTCACTTCAATGCACCTTGTGCGACGTATATAACAGCGTTAATCCGGTATTGGATGAGATGTAAAAGCAACCATCGCTAGGTAATGCAATCTGCTTACAGTTCATTTGCACGGTTTGCGAGAAAGTGCTCCATAATTCATGCTGCGTACTGGATAGTTTCGCCCTACGCTTCACTATTTTGGTGATCCCGTACGCCATGATAGTAATTCGCGGGTCCCCAGACACACGATTGACTTAAGCTAATGCAAGCTGCTTACGTCCACCGAGGTTGGCCTACCTAAAATATCATGTTAAATATCTATTCATGCTCTAGACAATTACCTCCGTTCGAAGGTCTTCTGGCCACCGTGCAGCATCGTGTCCGTTCGTCCTTGTGCCGATATTGAAGCAAGGAGTGACCTGTTTATCAGGGAATGAAAGAACCGGGCGAAGGGCTTTGAAACGGCGGTCGACGGCACCCGAATAGCGAACTTCAAAGAAACGCGGCTGGAACAATTGGGCCGCATTATTTTTGAATAAAGTCTTCATAACCACAGGGATCATGACCGACATATTATCGTAATGGCGGAAGGATAGACGGTCATGTCTTTCCCAAACATCTTCCCACACTGCATCAGGGTAAACACCAACCGAGTTGACCAGCCACTGGGAATAGTAATTGAGAGAGGTCTGCCTAGTTAGTTCTACAATCGAAGAGCGCTAACTGATGGGGAGGTTCTTACGTCCATGTAGAATGATCCGCCCTTCTCTGCTCTTTCGATCAGAGCGTTCATAATGCCACAAACTCCTGCAACCCCAGTACTATAGAATAATTAAAAATTAGTAACCATGCTTGTATAGAAAGCAAAAAACCGACTTACCAGTAGTCTGAGTTTGGGAAGATAGGAGTGACTGGCGCTTCATGTCCGGTTGCTCGACCATATTCGTATGATACTCCACAGACCTGCGAAGATAGAATCAGTTAGCTGCAATCACACTATTTCTACAAATTGAGGTTAACATACTGCATCACTGATTTGCTGCCAGCCACTTCGATCCTTCCAAGGCCCTTGCCAGCCGTAGCAGTTCTCGCGAGCATAGATTAGGCCAACTGGTCGATCCCTGACAAGTTCAAGCACGGCCTCTCTACCGAATCCCAGCTTTTCCATCACACCTGGTCGGTAACCGTCCAGGACAACGTCTGCCTCTCGAATCAGGCTACGTACCTGTTCCTTTCCAATCTCAGTCTTGAGGTCAATGGAGCAGTTCCACTTACCCCAGTTAAGGTCCGCATGGAGAGCATGAAAATCCAAGACACCCGGGCCAGTGACTCTCATCACACTTGCTCCCCACTCAGCGAGCCCCTTTGATATCGAAGGTCCGGCAATAACGCGAGTAAGATCTACGACTTTCAAACCCGCCAGCGGGCGCTTAACACCAGTATCTGAAGTTTCCTGCCACCATGTGGGCTTTTGGGTCTCGTTGGCGATATGCGTCAATTCATAGAGCCCAGCATTGGCATTCGCTTTTCCGTGGTCGCTGGCCACGTATTCCTCGGTGGTCAGACAGATGGTTCCAGCTTGGCGATAAGTCTCATTCATCAGACTGTCGAGCTCATGAGAATTATGTTGCAAAACATGATTCTGGATCAACTGGGTTGCCTCTGCCATCGACGAAACTTGCAGATCCAGTGGAATGTCCAAGGCAGTCAAAGATGGATTGGCATTCATGCTTCCTGTGTTGCATTTGTTATTTCTATTTTCATTTTGGCTAGGATGTAGAGGTAGCATACCATGGACGTGGTAAAACCGGGAATCTTTCGTCTTGTAGATACTGGTAAGGGCCGCGCGGTGGAGAGATCCCTGGCCAAGGTCTACTCCTGGGCTTGGGAAAATTGACATCAATCGCTCGATTAGAGACAAATTCGTCTTGGAAGGCTTGCCTTCTTCATTGACAACATCAACAAGCAATGTTGACATGATAAAGAGGGAGGCATGATCGCTGCTCTCGGTGGAATATATCAGCGGGCAGGCTCCAAAAAAGCGTGAATGTCTCACTTACGTGTCGATTTCAATGTTCACTGGGCTCTGCTTGTGCTTAGCCCCCAAAAGGGCATTAAGCCAAATAGCTTCAAGACCTTTTAGGCACGAGATACTTTCAGCAAAGCGCCAGTTGATTGGTAAGTTGGGCTTTGAATTTCCGGAAAACTTTACAAAGCTTGCTAAAAGGTCGGCATTGGCAGGAAGATTTGAGGAAAGCACAGAGTTCTCCAAAATGCCCTTCCGAAGAAGGATTTCAGATCCAGATGGTACGGAGTAAGCTCTGATTGTCATTTTCGGCGGTGGTTGAAAATGAGGGGAAGGGTGGGGTGCAGGAGACAACCAGATATTCAAGCTATCCTGCTTGATCCGTATGATCACTAATAGATTAACGTTAATCTTCAAGATGTGCGATCCGATGATGTTCATACATTCCAGGAATTATTTTTTGATTCCCGGGAGCCCCCGTGCTCGCGGGATTCGTGTTACGGACCTACCAACACCAATCAGTTACGGGGCCGCAACTTACTGATGGGCCACCGACAGCCAACCGATCTATCTGTCATCAGGATCACGTCCAGTACCTTATACTCTGGCACCCCCAGGTATTCAAGAAAAAGAGAAACCGTGATCATGCTCAGTGAGCATGAGCATGATCCGCCCTGAGCGGACCCACCCGGCAGAGGATATCCTGTACATATGCCGTTCGACATATCGGATAACAGATGGCCACTTTCGGCCTGCCACTTGCCATTTCAGTGTAAACCACACATACCAAATGGAACGGCAACCACGTGATTATGCAGGTAGTAGATGGGTCAACAGTCAATGGGTAGATCTTGCCAAGGCCAATCTACCGTTCTACCATCTACTAATCTACTGAGGAAGGACTCAGGATATATAAGGACATTCATGTATCTAGTTTAGTTTAGAACTACTGTGACTCTTTACTTGATTATAACTTTACAACACTCACGAGTAGACCAATACTCCGGTATAGATCTGTTCGGCGCTCTACCTGGCATTGTTCCTCGATACCCTCAAAAGGACTTAGCCCGTATAAGGCCTGTTAGGCAACGGTACGGTTGAGAGACAGATCGTTGACGTTGGAAGCAGAGAAGCATAAGGCAAGTATAACCCGGGAAAACTTCTAACTTAACTGTGACCAGTTAGCAGCGCGTAACAGTACCCATGCGGCAAAGGGTAGCGTTCTTGACTCGCACACAGACACGCCCAAAGCTATCCGCGAAGAGTAAATAGAAGACAGACACTCAAAAGAAAAATCGCACTTAAGTAGAGCGAGCTGAGGCGTCACGGCTTTTTTTTATGGTTTCGCTATCGTCTAGCATATTTCCCTATTGGCTGTTTCCCTTAAACTTCTTACAGATCGGACTAGCTTAGCAGCCGATCGCAATTTTGATCGCTCGGATATATAATAGGTTAGTGGTTGTGATCCACTTTAGCTGAGATAGAGTTGATCTCTAGAAGGCCAATTTTCCGCCGAATACGTGCTTGGTTGATGATATTGGCACCGCTGCCAAGTATACAAGCTCGTCTTCAGTGGTCAGAAACAAATCGAAGAACTGCAAAAGTCTATGGTCCGGTGATATATAAACGCTTAGCAGCTATAATTTTACTCACTTCCAAAACGAAGCCTAGTTACAACTACAATTAGACTAAGACGTCGCGGTAGTACAGTCTCTGAGCCACCAGTTGTGGTACTCGGACGTGGGCAGGTAAAAAAGGGGGACCGGTGTTAAGACTTGAGCAACTACTACCACGGGAAACTTCCGCTGGACCATTAGCGTCTAGCTTAGTTTGATTATTTTCTCTAGCAGCCATTGAGATTAAGTGGCGCATTGCTCCGCTGAAGTGGTTCAGTCTATTTCGGAATTCCCGTATCGATCTTATCCACTTTAGGTTTGGCTTCCGATTGAGTATTTCCACATGCAGCACCAGCATTAGATTTCTCCTAGCCCCTCCGCTGACTTCTGCGTTCTCGTTCCAATATTAGAGGCATCCTAGGGTCTGTTTGATGTCAGAACGCCACTGCTTCCAAGTACTTAGCTGCTGTAGGATTTGAGTAGGCGAATGGTATCCACATGGCTTGAAAAGAGATTACCAATCGGGGGGTTTGGGGGGCGGGAGGAGCTTATTCTCGAATAGGTAGACATATCAGAGTTCAATAGCTAAGTCTAGCTCCCCGCTAGAGATAGATCAATTTTATTACCGAGAGCTACGTCCGATGCCGAGAATACTACCTGTGATGAACTTCCTACTTACTGTGGATAAAAGTGGAAGGGATCAGCACAGCAAACCAGACGGATCTTACAGACCTGTAGGGGTAAAACTTATGTAGATCTCTCGTATATAAGTTCCTACTATTGTCCTTCACGATGAAACCATATTCAGCAGAATCCTCATTATTTTGCTTACCTCGAAGCACATCTATTGTCTCTTCACGCTTTTTTCTTTACCTTATTTTATAAAGTACCCGACCCGTTGTACGTCTTGTTTTATCATCCACAAAGAAATTAATGTGCAAGATGTCGTGCTGACCAAGATTTGTGTCGAAAGCCGGTTTATCTCCCGCGATGAAGACTTTTGCCATCCTTGGCATCGCTTTTGGCTGCAGTTGCCACTGCGACCCCAGTGCCCGACCTCGAGGTCGACATGGGTGGGGTTAATGCGGATGTCAAGCGAAATGCTATACCCGACCTCGAGGTCGACATGGGTGGGGTTAATGCGGATGTCAAGCGAGATGTTATACCCGACCTTGACCTTGACCTCAAACAGGTGCCTGTAGCCAACCTCGTTGCTGCCCTGGTCGATAAACTCCCTATCGACGCCAAAGTCTCTGCTCTCCCCGACGGCCTTTGACCTGAGCCAAGTCAATATCAACGATCTCCTGACCTGCGTGACCAACAACCTCCCTGTGTCCGCCGGCGTTTCTGCTCTGAGCTCGTGAAAAGTGATGGGATGTTGCGTTTGTTGAAAGACGTAATATACAAGGGTTATAGGGTGGGGTTAAGTACCTGGCTATATAGAGGTGGCAGAGAATGGAAAATAATCGGACTGGAGTACTTATTGAATACACACACCCGGCGTACCCACTGTTCTCCATAATATCACGCCGCCGAGTTGCCACAGTACTGTAGATAATATGTGAAGGCTCATCGTGGGACAAATCAGACATTGGCAAAATGTGGCAGAACGTGCCCTGAATTTTCCCTTGGCCTCGTGTAGTAGTTAGGCCTGATCTACAGTAGACCGCAATTCACCTTTCCTTAGTAAATTTATAAAGTTGGATAGCATCAGCATAGAGGTGGTGCTAGGCTACCAACCTCATGAAGTCCTCGATCGCTCTTGCTGGGAATACTTCCACCCCCCGGAACTGCCTTTTGCCCGGTCGACCCATGGTCGCGGCGTGCGGTTGGACAAGGTTGCAGTCTTGAATTATTGTTCGATCCGGCATAAGAATGGTTCCTGGGTTGGGTGCGAGTGTGTCTACTGTAGTGTACGATGTGTTGATCGCAAGTACCACTGTCTGCGGCCGAGGACATGGAAGTCAGAGTAACTCTTTCTTTTGTGCTTCGACAGAGAGCTTCTTTAGGGGACTTGCCTTTTGCTATTTGTTTCACTTGCCCTACTTCCCTCTTGCAAGGCGCGCCTAGCCCACTGTCTCCTTATTGTCCCACTAATATACACTTCAACTATACAGGGCACGCTGTTGATGCGCCCATCGTCCGCCAGCTCTTCAATTCCTCTCCAAATGATCCCCGCTACCACATGCTTACCTGGATCTCCAATAAATTCTCTCAGCGTCTGACCGAGCCTCTCCACGAGCCCCGCGCAACCATGTTCGTGAACCGCTTCACGCGAACTGCAACGATCATGTACGCTACAAGGGGAGTATCGGAGATCCTAGGCATCAGTCCAAACACGCTTATCTCCCAGAGCTTCTATTACTGTATGCAAGAAGAATGCCTGGGAGGTGCAGTCAGGTGTCTCGAAGGTGCGAAGAGGAACGATTCCATCGCTTACCTGCGATTCTGGTTCCGGAATCCTCTACATGACGTGCATGGGTCTGGTCTTGGATTGGATGCGGCCCCGAGTCTACCACCGATCGAGCTGGAAGCCGTCGTTTCTTGTACCTCAGACGGTCTCGTCGTCATCTTGCGCCGAGCCCGTGCCCCCATCCCTACTACCCCCGCTGTCCCTGCAATCTCCGAGCCAGCTCCGGTCTAAACCAATGGTATCTTTGCGGCGCCGTGGGCCACCGAGCCAGTGTTTTCCTATGGGACACCATCCTATACCCCCTCGCATCCAGCCATCCTGCGGCCTTCTCGTCCAGAGACCGGCACCTTGTGCCGAGATGGACCTGCACCTGGTTCACCAGCTCATGGAACTCCTCTTCCGGAACAGAAGACTACTCTATGCCGCGACGGCATGGAATCCAGCTCTGGTAGCGCATCGGATTCCGAGTATGGTTCGGATCTCTGAACAGGAAGTGTCTGGATGCCCAGGAGAAACCGGTCCTCACTCGTACCGTCTTATGAACACCATCCGCGACGTGGCTGTCTTCGCGTGGGGAATTGTGGCATCAACCCAGTACAAATGCGGAACCCCAACTGGTGATGCTCGGCCAGACGATGAGATGGATCTTGATGATTCACGCTAGTATACGATTTTCGCAGACACGACGTGGGAGTTAATTAGATGATGATTCGCGTTTTGTATGAAATACTTTATTCTCCCTTGTACGTCCCCAGCATTATGCATTGTATGTTTTCAGGCAATGGAAAGAGCCAGCTTCTCTATCTCATACAACCTTCACATATCTATTCATGGGACCACTCAGGCTTCTTCTTCTCAGCAAAGGCGGTCATCCCTAAAATGAAAGCACGATTAGCAAACCTAGCTCAAACTCACCCAAAGGCCAACTCACCAATCTTCTGATCCTTGCTCCCAAACAACGCATGGAAAAGCCTCCTCTCATACTCAACCCCCTCCTTAAGAGGCAACTCCTGACTCTTGTTTACAACCTCCTTCCCAGCAACAACCGCAACACGACTATAACCAGCAATAGTCTCGGCTGTCTTAACAGCCTCCTCAAGCAACTCCTCCTTCCCACCCTCAACAACCTTAGCAGCGACACCCCACTCGCCAGCCTCCTTACCACTAAAGTTCTTTCCAGTCAATATAAGCTCCATAGCCTTACTCTTGCCAACGGCACGGGTCAAGCGCTGCGAACCGCCTGCGCCGGGGATCGTGCCGAGCTTGATCTCGGGCTGGCCGAATGTTGCTTTTTCGGTGCAGTAGAGGATGTCGCACATCAGTGCGAGCTCGCATCCACCGCCTAGGGCGTAGCCGGAGACGGCGGCGATGACGGGTTTGCGGATTGTGTTTGCGAGGTGGGACCAAGGGGCGATGAAGTTGTCATTGTAGGCGGCCGCGAAGCTTAGGGGGGCCATTTCTTTGATGTCCGCGCCGGCTGTGTGGTGTTAGTATTAGCTGAGGATTGTGAATTGAACGGGGATTGGATGGGATTGAGGCATGGTTGGTTGGATATAGACGCACCAGCAAAGGCTTTTTCACTTCCTGTGATGATAATTGCGCCAATGCTTTTATCATTGTCATAGTTGCTTAGAGCTTCGTTGAGCTCCTTGAAGAGTGGTGTGCAGAGGGCGTTGAGGGCCTTAGGGCGATTCAAGGTGACTGCAGTACGTGGTCAGCATTGATGTTGTGGGTGCTTTGTTTCCATTGGTTACATACTCAGACCAACACCGGGCTTAGGGGTCGAGGTGAGGATGTGCTCATAGCTACCGGCAGCTGAAGAATAACCCCGGACTCGAGCTAGATACGAGGTCAAAGGGACAGCTGTCTTGGAGGTAGCCAAGCGGGTGCATTGACGTGCAAACATTGTGTCTGATTATGATATGCAAGTGCTTAAAAAGTTGAAAAAATATTGGATTGACGATGAAAGGGTGAAGGAGTACTGAGCATAACATCATAGATCCTCCGTTTCCCCGCGACTAAACGCCGAAGTTAACCGTCCCGAGGTTCACGTGTAGTGAGTGTGACTAAGCTAAGGCAGTCCATTGCCGCCACTATGTCAAAACAGATTCTGCCGGCAGCATATTAGTAAATATTATAGGTTAACCATATAGAGGTGATTATATGAAGGCGGTATAAAAGCAGGCGGTGAAAACATTATATAGGGGGAAACTTGTGACTAAGCTGACCCAAAGCAGCTAGTACGAAACCACTGCATAGCCACCCATCACGTGCTCCTAAGTGGCTGGTGAGTCATCTCAAGCCTGATTGGTCAGTTAGCAGTGGACACTTTTCTCCTCCTGAGCCTGTGCCTTTCTCGTCCGGAATGTCTGGTTTCAGCTTATCTTAATATCATTTCCTTTGCTTTTTCCCTTCTCTCTTTCTCTTTGGTGGCCTTGACTTGTGTACTACCCGCCCTCTCCCCTTCACCATGGATGTTCCTGAGCCCGACCAGTCGCCTTTCACGGCCATGACCGCGCACACCTCTAGATTGACCCGGGTGAGTGTCTCATGAGGGCAGAGACATTGCGCAATGCCCTCGAGTCCTTCATTCCTCGAACCTGCTGGAACAGTCGGAGGGAGCAGCATGCTAATCTATGCTTTTCGCATTAGCAATACCAAGCCTACCTCGATGCCTCGACCCCGTACACAACCTACCGCTGGGTAGGCTCCGGTGTGCTCCTGTTCTTCTTCTTCCTGCGCATTGTCTTCGCGCAGGGCTGGTACATTGGTATGGACCCCCCCAATTCTTTGGGCGATTGCGAAGCGCAATACTGCCCCCGGAAAAGACAATGCGAGATAGCGTCCAATGGAATCGCCGGGAACCTTGGCATAAACAAACCGCTAACATGATTATCTTGCGCCACAGTCGCCTACACACTCGGCATCTACCTTCTGAATCTCTTCCTCGCCTTCCTGACTCCCAAATTCGATCCTTCCCTCACCCAGGACGAGGGCCTCGAGGACGGTGACGCGGGGTCCCCCAGCCTCCCCACCAAGAAGGACGAGGAGTTCCGGCCTTTCATCCGCCGCCTACCAGAGTTCAAGTTCTGGCACTCGGCCACCCAGGCCATCACCATCGGCTTTGTCTGCTCCTGGTTCTCCATCTTCGATATCCCCGTCTTCTGGCCCGTGCTGGTTGTTTACTGGATCATCCTGTTTGTGCTGACGAGTATGTTCCTCGGTCTAGCGTGGCCTTCCCTCATTGCCTTTCTTGGATATCGTTCTAATTATTCTGCGCAGTGCGACGACAAATCCAGCACATGATCAAGTACCGCTACGTGCCCTTCTCCTTCGGCAAGACGCGGTACGGCCGTTCATAAGATCTTTGACTTTCTTAATTCCCCTGCTGTCTCTGTCTCTATATCCACGATTGTCCTATGAGTATTGTGTATTGTATGCGAGTTTTGACTTGGTGGGACTGACAGACACGATATGAAATGAGGTGAAGCATTGGACGGGCTCATGGCGATCCATTTTATGAATTTCTCCAGTCTTTGTTTTTATAATCACTGCTTTGCTTAGACGGTTGCCATTTGGACCGGATTCTTCACTTGTGAAAATATGATTAGATTTGAAGTCATGACTCAACTTCCATTTATCCTTTTGACAGCCTTTCTGGCTTATAGTGCATACAACAGGTGTCATAAATGTGTATACAGTGCCATGAATTATTGAATAGTCTCTACATGAATGCCTTGAAGCGAGTATGCCGTTTTATCCATTGTTTTCGTCCTAATTTGGCCTCCTTTTTCACCTCTTTCCCTCATTTTCAAATTGCCCCGGGTTAATCATGTCGATTGTATAAAGCTGGGGTGTGAAAGGACTTATAGCCTATGGCTGTACTATGTTCTTGGAGATTACCCTGCAAGGTACTTGTGTATTTGATTTTCATAAGGAGGTAGCCTGAGACAAGTACCTAATCGGCTGAGCGGATTTGCGGTCATTTGCTACTACGATCCAATTTGAGAAAATTAAACGTTTGACTGAAGCCCAAGTCCAAATCCAAGTTTCCAATATTCTCAATCTGATTATCTTGACGACTTCTCCACTGCAAATTTCCTATCACCGTTCCCTCACTCAAACTCTCAGGGAACGCTATCACTATCAAACCATGGAAACACATTCACAATCGCACTCCCACACGGATGACAGCTCAAGCATGGATCAAAACATCAACATGAACATGGCATCAACCTTCTCAGCCTCAACAAAAGTCACAATCCTCTTCACAGGCTGGACAACCTCCACACCAACCCGATACATCCTCACACTAATCCTCCTCTTCCTTCTCGCAGTCCTAAACCGTTTCCTCGGTGCACTCAAGTTCCAACTCGAGCAGTCGTGGACCCACCACAATCCCGTCCCGCCAGCTTTGAAGCTTACAGCCATACATTCACGACGAGACGTCCAAAAAGCAAAGCTCAGTCCTCTTCCCATTTACATGCGCGTCCACGGGGGCGAGGACGAGACTATTGAGGAGACACTTCCGGTTGCTTACGACGATGATGAAAGGGGACGCTCGAGCACTCCTCTACTTGAACGAGGTACTCCGCTGAGGAAGTGGTCTTGCAGGGTTCGTCTTCCATCTTGGGAGGCTGGTGGAAGATGGTCTCTTCGGAAGGATGGAGTGCGGGGATTGCTGGAATTGGCTAGAGCTTTGATTGGATATCTCCTGTAAGATTTCGTTCACTTCCGTGGCTACTTGCATATGTTGTGGTTGTTGAAATGCTCTACTAATTGTCGGTTCTTTGAACAGCATGCTAGCGGTTATGAGCTTCAACACTGGGGTCTTCATTGCTATCTTGCTTGGGGTTCTATGCGGGGAGCTACTGCTTGGGAGATTCTCTCGTGGTATGGCTGGTTGGCAGGAGGGAGCTTGTCATGCTGTTTGAGCTTGTCATGGGTTCTGTGCAACCCTATCTGGTATTCTCGTATTGCATGGTTCGCAAGCACCCACCCGGGAACTTTTATGGTTAAATAAATTTGTTCTCAGGCATATTTCCATCTTTGTATTGTGGTGATGTGCTGACAAGAAGATGAACGAAGTTATGACAAAGGAAGAAATACAAATACGACGAATAGAGCTTAACACGTCAGAGAACCTTATTATTTTCACTTTTTTGCCTTCTAGTTGCACATGGTATCATGTTTGTCTAGTGTGTGAGAGAGAATAGCCATATACACTGAGTGAAAAAGGGCTCAAAATGGTTCAAATGCCGTCTGAGCTACAGTCCACATAGCCAGATTAGATATGTGATTACATTTTACGAAAAGAATTATGTACTAGTAATAGGTCGAAAGAGACAAAAATCAAGGATCTCATTTCAATCGAAGAGACCTTGCAAATACAGTAGAGTCTACTAGGCACTGAAATAGCTGGCCATGTGTCTAGTATGTATCTACTTTTGGAAATGCAGCATTGAAAAAGGTGCACCGAAAGATATAAAAACGGAGAGGATAAAGTAGAACGAGGAGAGAGGGGGTTTTTATATCGTTTACGGCATGCCCGGAGAAGCAAGTGCTGCCGATGAAATGCTGGGGTTAGAAGAAGTGCACGTCTGGGGCCTACTATCCGTCCTACCTGGCCAAACTTCGACTATGAAAACACCCACCGCACCGGCCCGCGCTTTGCCGACTTATAGAGTACATATGTGGCAATTACATTGATCAACTCCGGGGATCAGTGCTCTGGTGAAACTATATATGCAGCTATATAGACAGGATAATGTCTGCCGGGTGGGGCCTTTCCTATCTGGGCTGCCGCCGCTTTATGAGGGTGCTCAGGCTCAGGATCAGTGAGTAGATGTCAGCACGGCTTCAGCCCGCGGCTTGGTTAGGTAAAGCAACACGTGATAGCTTCTGCCTGAGGTGTAACAAACGGCCCGGCTCACCGACCCGACAATCTACCGTTATCTACCCCCAGACTCCAGCTGTCAATATCCAGAATCCGCATGGTTGCGCCCCTACTCCCGTCAGCTTCTTGTTATAGCTCGATCACGCCGGCGTCCCTGGGAATTCCTGTTACCTGCTATCCTATTCCCAGTAGCCTGCTGAAATCCATCAAGTTCTACTCAAGCCACTGACTGCCTCCAGGAACCGCCCAGCAGTGTCAAGGCAGGGATCTAATACTATTGGAGTAATTAAAGGTTTAGGTAGAGCGCACACTGCATGAACCGGTGGAGAAGACTTCCCAGAAACGACATCTCGATTTGGCTGATAGAGTCCACCTGTCTCGTGTCGAAAATGGCACTGTAATTATCGATGGCAAGTAATCCAGCAAATTTTGAAAGGTCAGGATATTATCGCTGAATTATGAGCTCTCCGCATTACATGACAGCTCAGTACCTGCAATCATTGAGGCGGACAGGTTGTGCGGGGTAGTAAACCTTCACTCGTTCCTCGTTTCAGGGCAAACGAAGTCATACATCCATCCATCCGTCCATCCGTCTGTAAGGCGAAGACAACAAGAATCTCTGCCCCGATACTATATCTCCAGAATTTATCGTATCCGCACACGGTCTTTCATTCCGCATTGATTCCAACCTAGCAATACACGCATCGGTCGCCATCCTAGAAATGTCTACACCCCAGTTCAAGCTGATCTTCCGCGTGCCACCATCCCACCTGACGTTGTGCAAAGAGGCCGTGTTCTCCGCTGGCGCTGGAAAATATCCGGGCGGCCGCTACTCCGAGGTCAGCTTTGAGACTCTCGGCATCGATCAGTTCCGGCCCAGTGCGAACTCCACCCCCTATATCGGCCAGCCAGGTGTATTGGTGCAGGTTGAGGAGTACCAGGTTGAGACACTTTGCGTCGGTGTGGGGGTTATGCGAGAGGCTGTGAAGGCGCTACGAAAGGCGCATCCTTACGAACAGGTTGTTGTTGAGGTGATTCAGCTGGTGCATATCGAGGATCTCGATCGTGGGTAAAGGTAGGATTAGGTTTATTTTAATGGGATCTGCAATCGGTGCTGACGGGTTTACCATAGGATTGGAAGATGGGTTTGATGTGCCTTAGGTCGCAGTTACATGGATCTTTGGGGACTTTAGGTGCCGGGAAGGTGACAGAAATGGTTTCGTCGAAGGAAATACGGACAGAAGTATCGAGAATAAATACATGGTCTATGCAGCTATGTGGCATGTATCGACAAATAAAGGCAACTTGACCCTAATATGTCAGCCGTCTGTCTCAGGGCCTGGCTTCTACCCCGTAAACTAGGTTCAACAATCCCTATCCAAGACCAAACTATTTATATCCTACATAGTATAGTAGATGGTTCGTTCACTAGATCCTAGCTAATTATTTTCCACTTCCCGTTAGAGTCTAAGTGGAAGAAGAGCCTTGGCCTTATAGCGTGCTGAGATACATCGAAAAGTAGTGACTGATTAGGTCTTTCCCTATAGATATAGATTAAGGTATTGCCACATATTAGGGTAACGGGATACAAGGGCTAGTAAGTCACGGAAATTATCTATTCATTTTTTCGCCCCTTAAAATCATCGTAGGTATTTTTTATCTTCTGTTTAGTTCCTCTTTGCCTAGTGTCAGATCGCAACTGCTCCGCATTGCTGAACAATGAGTGTGAGAAAAGAAACCTAGTCAAATTCACTTCGTGGCTGTGTCCCCGCTTAGGTCCAAGCCTAGTCTGATAGGGGGTATCCAGATCGAATTTTTATGTACCCTAAGAAGAGTCGCCTTTCAATTTCAACACCTTCGCGTTCTGCCAATATAGAAGATACGGTATCGGCCGTTTCAGATAATCTTCCCGTTATGTTGATACATTGCACCAGCTCTCATTTCCGATATAAGTTGCCCACGGAGGCGATTCCCGTCTTCAATAAAAAAAAGTTCAACAAAGATATGGTGAGCAAAGATAGGTCAGCAACGCAGCGATGGTAAAACAGTGCACGTTTAAGAGATTAACAATTGCTCACAACAGACGGTAAATGGTGAAGGGTGAACGGTTAACTGCAAATGGTCGACAAACAGTCAGCAATAAATGGTAAGCAGCAGACGGTTAAGAACAAGTTGAAAACAAGTTAAACTGCAAACAAACGCACTAAGGATTCCTGGGGTCAATAACCGAAAAGCACCCCGTTTGCGAATCAGTTGATGGTCGGTCGTGGAAACCTCCAGCCCCCGGGATTTTGGCCTATAATAAAAGGGTCAAAAACGTGCACAGCACCATCTCATGCTTTGCCACTCCAATTTGTGCAAAGCTAGCATATCGTTGATATTCCTTGATTAGTATTCCCCGGAGCCCAATTCATGAGGGGTGTTTAAATCGATATCTAATCGGCGGATGACAAGTGGGGGGATGTTAAGTGGATCCATTCCTGAACTCAATTCCACACATCTTTTACACCGGCTGTCCAGGGTAGCAATTGGCCGGGCGGTGGGATCAAAATAATCCAGTTACACACTGCTGTGTTGACCAATATTGTTTTTGCCCACCATCACCGATCAGAACCAAATATCTTTAGTCTCATGGTAGCTAGCTCTATATGGCAAGTGGAGATAGGGGAAATTACAACCTTTTGAAATGACCTCTGTACTCCGAACTCTGTAGATAATACCTGTTGATAGCGAACACTACGGGGTAATGAACATAGATAAACATGGTCTGCATGATAAGGATGTGACGAGGATTGGCCAATCAAAGCGCCCTGCTTATGACTGGTAGCTCTGTGGTGAGAATAAAGGCATCAGCTGGTCAGATAAGCGGGGTCATCGGCATTTGAGCGCACATTATCATTTGTTGTCACAATCCTTTATCTTTCGATCCATATAGAGTACACACGCAGCATTGTAAATACGGACGCCACAAATCCGCACTACCCTCCGATCACTTTCTCAACAGCCCTTCCTTCGAGAAAGGTGTTTGGAACGCGTGATAGCTAAGCTCCATGAGGTCAGGCTCGTTTCCCATCCTTTCCTGCCCTAATCTTGTTCCTCAAATCCTGTGATATATATGTATATATTGCACCTACCGATATATAGGTTCCATTCCCGATCAACACATCCCTGTACACGACGCTTCTGCAAGTCACATCCACATTGACACCATCACCCGTCATGGCATCCGAAGAGAATAAGGAAATATTCGAGAAGAGCCCCGCTGTAGGCTCCTCCGACAATGAGATTTTCGAGACCGGTCACGTGGGCAACATCAGACGACGCCTGCCTGGCTTCAGCTGGGAAGTTCGTCAGGAGGAGAGCAGCTTCGCTGCCACGCCCAGAGCCTCTAATGCCGACTTCGACCCAATTCCCCCGTCGAAACGCACCTGGAATTGGGGCGCGTATGTCGCCTACTGGATGGCCGATGCCTGGGCCGTCTCCAACTGGGAAGTGGCTTCTTCCATGATTGCAGTCGGCCTCGACTGGAGGATGGCTATTGGTGCTTGTGTCCTTGGCAACACCATCATGGGTCTCGTCATCACGTCCAATGGCAGGATCGGTGCCATTCTTCATACCCCGTTCCCCGTCCTCGTGCGAATGCCATTTGGTTACTACTTCAGCTACTTTGTTGTCCTATCCCGTTGTGTCCTCGCCATTGTCTGGCTTGGTGTCCAAACAACCACAGGTGGTCAATGCATGGCTGTCTTGCTCACAGCCATCTGGCCAAGTTTCGCCAACATTCCCAATCATATTCCTGAAGATGAGGGCATAACGACGTCGGGAATGGTTGCATTTTTGCTCTATTTCCTCCTCCAGCTGCCCTTCCTGTGCATACCATATACCAAGGTACTATCTATGCAGCCAACAACCTCCCCCCCTCCCCCCCCCAAAAAGCCAACAAAAAGAGCCAAATTTGCTTACGCGGAACCTTCCCCCGTTCACTCGCCTGATGGACTTTTACTAATACTGCCAAGATTCAATACTTCTTTGCCTTCAAGTCAGTCATCGCGCCGATTATCTTCTTGGCTGTTTTCGGAGACACGCTGCACAAGGCTGGTGGTACCATCAGCAAGAGTACGGTCATCACTGAAGGACCTACCGTGAGCGGCTCAGCCCTCGCCTGGGCCTTTTTCGGAAGTCAGTCACTTCTCGTTGCCATCGTAGTACCCCTAATGACTTTGCTGACCTGTGCCTTTCTCATAGATCTCAATGGAGTTTTGGGTAACTACGCCACCTTGGGTTTAAACATTGCCGACTTCTCGAGATATGCCGATAAGCCCAGCGCACAGAACATCCAAGCTATCGTTATCCCGTGCATCTTCAGTATGTACACTACCTGACGTACCCACATCCATTTTCTCTAGTTCTCTAACAAATTGGGCGTCTAGCAATTGTTGGCCTGCTAGGCATCTTCACCGCCGCTGCTGCTCAGACAGCATATGGTAAAGTTATGTGGAATCCGATTGAAATTATCAGCTTGTGGATGGAGTCCGGTTCCAGCGTTGGACGTGCTGCTGCTGCATTCGGCGCCATCGGCTTGATCATCGTCACTCTCGGTATCAACATTTCCGCAAACTCCATTAGTGCCGCCAATGACCTCATGGCATTCGCCCCCAAATATATCGACATTCGCCGAGGCCAACTGCTCGCTGCCTTTATTGGTAGCTGGGCCTTTGTCCCGTGGAAGATTCTCGCATCAGCCGCGACATTTCTTGCTTTCCTAGGAGGCTACACCATCTTCCTTGGTCCCATGACATCCATTCTCATGTGCGACTACTTCATTGTCAGACGCGGTAACGTTTCTGTGCCTGACATGTACAACTTTCACGGCATATACCGATACTCTCCAAAATTTGCTACCAACTGGCGCGCCGTCGCTGCTTTCTTCATTGGCTGCGCTCCCCCCCTGCCTGGTTTTGTCAACAACATTGTTGACTCTGGAGGAGACATAACCACTGTCTCTATCGGCGGCCGACATCTGTAGGTCACTTTTCTTTAACTCCGCACGATGTGCTCTGGGAGGGGGCTTGAGAAACTGTACTCAAACTGAACCCACGCTGATTTATTTCTGTACAGTTTCGCCATCGGGTACATCTATTCGTTTATTGCCGCTGGCGTCTTCTACTGGGGGTTTAACCAATTCTTCCCGCATACAGAATCCCAGATGGACCACCCCGAAACGGGTGAGGAAATCATTGCAGAGCAAGATGCCAAGAATATTGAAAAACGTCGTGCGGAATTGGCTGGACAGAAGTCAAACATTATCCATCGGGCCTTTCAGGTGTAGGGCTTTTGTAGATACATGATTTTGTTCCACTATCGTTGTTCCAAACTTCCTGAACGGTGAACTTTGCACCTCACCTGATAAGGCCTACCGTGGCCGGTGTGCTCTTCGTGGTGTTAGGCTGCTCTCATGGCGCGGCTGTAATGAACTCCCAGAAAAGGCGGTCAACGGTTGCCCGCGGCCGGCTACGTCTCCGCTAGTTGTTGCTAAGAATTCCAGTAATGCTGGGATTAAAACCCTGGTAGGGACTGTGCGGCAGACGCGTCTTTGTCGCGAGTTCGATTGACGGAGCATCTTGAACTGGATTTCCTTGTCGAGTTTGAATGGCGATGGGTTTATTATGGAAACGGCGATAAAGATCTTCGATTGTGGGTGTGCGTTTCGAGAAGGTGAGGACCGAGAAACAACAAGTGTGTGTACAGAGGCGAAACTGTTTTCGGCTCTCATATACCCAGTCATTTCATCTCTTCCGTCTACTGTACAGAATGATGCGACGCTTCTGCCAACAACAAGTCTTCGTACTCTAATACTTTGCTCGGCTATCTTAGGAGATCAGCTTTGTGACAATCGTCTCCCACACCCAACCCTGGCATTGTGAGACAGTTACCAGCCAAATGTTTAAGAGATCTCGGGTAAGTACATCGTAAGGCTGACCACACTTTTTCCCCTCTGTAAGCTACCGCAAGCAAGGCTGCCTCTCTGGATTTTGAACATCGTCGTCAATTTCTAGCTCTTTTTGTCAATCGCTCAGATCGTCTGAGTTCAGCAGAGATGCCTTCGTCATACGACAGTCTGCGTTCCGTTGATCACGCATCACAGGAGCCGCTTCCAGTAACAGCATCACCAACCTTCGAAGCAGTATCTCGGTCATCCTCTGTTTACTATGAGATGATTCTATTTCCTATCCTGATTCTGCTTTTCCGCCACAGCCAATTTCTGCCAGGCCTTTAAAAGAAGTAGGAAGATCTGCTCATCCGTGTCCCTCGCAAGATCAACGGGTGTCTGCCCCATGAAATCTTTCATGGCCAAATCTGCCCCCGCCTCTACTAACGCCCTCACCTTATCAATTCTCTCGTATTTCGTCACCACCGCATGATGAAGAGGTGTTTTGCCCCTAAAATCTCGGATATTTAAGGGGTTTCCGTCCTCCAGGTATTTACGTAGCCACAGTTCCCAAGGACCGACTTGGTGAGACTTCCAGAGAATATGCTCGCTGACCTGGTATGCTTGCTGAGCGCAGTGGTCCTCGCGAGGGATAGGATCTGTGGAAAGTGAAGAGAGAAAATGTCGGTACAATGTTTCGCGGTCAGAGGCGATGTTAGGATTTAGTAATTGGATACCTGGGTACATGAGAAATTAGCAATACGCCCCTCGCCCTGCTCTTTCACCGACGGAAGCGCATATCAACCGAGATCCTCGTCGGGAGGTCATACCTCTGTAGATATTCTTCTCCGCGCCCTCATTACTAACATTGCCGTGAATATGAGTGATTCCGAGGAGCTCCTTGGCGTAAGCTGCAGCCGTTGCCGCGGCATAGTCTTGCCACTGTTTATTCTTGTGGGTATCTGCATAGTCAGATATCCCCCGCACAACAAGACATGGAAAGTTATCCATAAGGCCTGCCGCCTCCATCTCGAAGCAGTGTATGTTTAGTTCTTTGCGAAGTGTTCGCGTGTCACACCATCTCTCATCACCTGATTTCCCGAAGCGATCAAGCCATAGTGCACTACCGGATCATTGGATGGCCGTGAAGGCCTACTGACGAGATGTATGGAATTACACTGAGCGCATGTCGCTTGGCGCTGAAGGTGGTTATATTCCCAGTGATAGAGCTTGTCAGAGCTCGCGCCGGGATAGGAGCATGCTTGTTTGCGAAGAGGAAATCGAGCCGTACTGTCGGACAAGATTCTCGGGATCCGGGATGTTTCGTACATGTGTCGTGCCTGCAGACTGGTGACGGCGTTTAACAAAACATCCGGAGGACGATTCAGAGAGCCGCTCCGCACAAAGCGACCCTCTTTCACTGTCTTGCCAAAGTCGAACTGTATGACGCCTCCTGAGGTGTCACCTGGTTTGCTTACTACCACATCCCCGAGTCGAATATCGTGATCGTAACTCGGCACTCCACCTCCAATTCCGACCATCAAGCCAAACTTTATAGAGGGAAATGTAGTTCGCATCTGTTTGGCTACACGAGCCGCTGAGGTGACACCTGTCACACCTGCCGGAAGTCCCGCAATCGTCACATTATGAGGCCCAATCCGACCCAGAGTGTAGTTATTATCATCGGTGGCTGGTTGAGGCAAAACATCATGGCGTTCATCCAACATGCAGGCGGCAGCCGCAAGCTCTGTAGGCAGGGTGCAGATCCATCCGACCTTGTAGTCTTCGTGCTTCATCTCGTCTTATAGGATCGATGACGGGATTTCGTGTCTTCTCGAGTTACCTGATAAAAAGGGCAGTGAGGGAGGAGTAGATCGGCACAAGAGCTGGACAACGAATTAATATCTTGTCAACCCCTCTTTTTGATGGTGCGTAGCCAATGTAAGCGCAGGCACCATTCGCCCAGCCAATAAAGGCTAAGTCATCTGTGTGGCTGAAGGTTCTGAATTGTATTGAGAGGATAGCGTAATTAGCATGATCTAATCATAGGAGCAAAAGAGCTCAAGATACATTCATTCTTAACTCCATCTCCATATTTCTCACTACCCATACCAACGACAACTATGACGACTTATGAGTAGTCTCCACTGTGATGATATTGAAATAAATACTTCGGTCAAGGTGTCTCATACGTTATCTGCGCCATTTTTGATTAACGATTCAAGTCGACCAATAAGACATAGACAGCTTCTGTCAATTCCAACATATACCCTTGCTTTCAGCACCCAACTACTACTCCCGGTGGTCGAGTAATTGGTGTGCACCACTGCCCCCCATCAACGCACATCACACCGAAAGCTGAAATTGACTGAGATCTCAAATCACCCACAGTACCATTTAGTATAGAGAGATAGATCATAACAATTCAAAAAAGAAAGCCCCTAAGAACGCTATCCAACCAGAAAAAAAATGCCTCACCTTGATTACCGTATATTGATGGGGCACATCAACTACCCAGGCCTAGTGGTAGTGGGACGCGAAGTCACAGGTTCTATAATATGCTTGGGCTGGAGAGAACATTCAGATTTCCAAATAGAGAGACCGAAACACTGCTGATCTTACAAATAGCGCATATATAACCAAGAGATGAGCATCATCTTTGGTTGTTGCTCAGACCGCATGCAATACACGCTACGTTGGGTGCATTAGGGCACTGTTCGAGCATGCTTCACCTGAACAAGCCCAGCCGCGTCCATGAATGATCATAGACAACTGACTGGGCTATTAAAAGAGCCTTGCAAGCCTGGAAGAGAGATACAGTCGAGAGGAATGTGGATGAGGCTAGCGTGGTGCATTTTATTTAGGTGAGCTGCTGACTTAGCTGCTGACTTAGCTCTCCCGCTTCGCTCAGGTCGCGCTCAGTGAGCAAGTCAGAGGGCTCAGGTCACGCTCAGTGAGTGGCATCGGGATGCTCAGTGAGCGAAAAGCGGCATGGGGTGAGCACTAAAACGGAAAGGGAAAGCCAAGACTTGTCAGACATTATCCTGTCTATATGCTCGCCGTATGGGGTGGATTATCACCTTGCTCCACAGATATATGTGTCTAATACAAAGCACGGTTATAGCCTTGAATTCATGTCAATTCTAACGCTTTTCCTCAAACTAGTTTGTGAAGGACTAGGCAAAAATAAAAAGTCTGAGTAATTTGTTAAGCCGGTCCAGCTATTGTTATGGATAATCAATGCCATTTTGTCTCGTTTCATTAATTCTGGCAAATATCATGTAAATAAATAGACAACCCCATCTGTAGCTTTCCTCAAATAAGCCATACTGGCATCGGTGCCAGGAGGTACTTCCCCGATCAGTGTTTTGTGTCACGGCTCCGGTGATGTGGGATCTGACAACCATCTCAAATACTTTTTCTCTACTTTCTCTTTCTCTCATACACTCTTCTCTTCTTCTGGCATCTCTACGGGAGATGTGGAGTATGCTATGAGGTTCACTTCCATCATCTGCGTCTGCCTCTCTCTAGGCCTGGCTCTTGGTAAGTCAATTCCCTAGGAAAGAACAATTCCACTGACAATGCGGTGATCGTTAGGGATCGTGGCTGTTTATCCGTCGTTCAATCATCTATTCGGTTCGGTCAAGTTGCGAGCCCTGCCCAATTCTCCCAATGGGTATACACCAACAAATGTCAGCTGCCCTGCCGACAAGCCTATCGTTCGCAATGCAGCTGGACTATCCGTCAACGAAACGACATGGCTTGAGTCCCGAAGGCAGGAGACTGTCTTTGCCATGAAGGGCCGTTTTAGCCATCTCAACATGACCTTCTTCGACGCGGTCTCCTACATCGAGTCGCATGCCTCAAACATCTCCGACATTCCTAACGTGGGAATTGTCGTGTCTGGTGGAGGCTACCGAGCGTTATCCAATGGTGCAGGTGCACTCAAAGCAATAGATAGCCGGACTTATGGGACTACCCGAATGGGCCATCTGGGTGGCTTGCTCCAGTCAGCTACATACTTGTCGGGCTTCTCTGGTGGTGGCTGCCTACTGGGGTCCATTTATATCAATAATTTCACCACTGTTTCTGAACTACAGGCCCACAAAGGTGGGGTCTGGAAATTTCAGAACTCGATCATCAAGGGACCAGCGAAGAAAGGTCTCGGGGATTGGAATACAGCAGCGTACTACCACAATTTGGACGAGCTGGTTTCTGGGAAAAAGGAGGCCGGTTTCAACATCTCTTTCACGGACTACTGGGGTCGCGCATTGTCGTACCAGCTCATCAACGCCGAAGATGGTGGGCCTGGGTATACGTGGTCCTCAATCGCATTGACAGAAGACTTCAAACAGGGAAAGATGCCTTTGCCTCTGTTGGTTGCTGATGGACGAAATCCAGGTGAGACACTCGTCGGAAGCAACTCCACTGTTTATGAGGTCAATCCCTGGAAATTTGGTACATTTGATCCATCAATATTTGCCTTCGTGCCCTTGAAATTTCTCGGGTCTCGGTTCGATAATGGCAAAGTATCTTCCGATATTTGTGTTGAGGGCTTTGACAATGCCGGATTTATCATGGGGACATCCTCTACGCTCTTTAATCAGTTCATCTTACGGCTCAACACCACCGATGTTCCTGAGAAGCTGAAGTCAATTCTTGGTGATCTTCTCCAAGGCCTCGGTAAACAAAGCGATGACATTGCAATCTACTCCCCAAATCCATTCTACAACTACGAGTATGCCACGATTGCTTACAGAAATACCCCCAATCTCAACGTCGTGGACGGTGGAGAGGATAAACAAAACCTTCCACTCCACCCGTTGATTCAACCAATACGCCACGTTGATGTGATTTTTGCTGTGGACTCATCGGCAAGCACCAAGAACAATTGGCCTAGTGGTAGTCCTCTGGTTGCAACCTACGAACGCAGTCTCAATTCTTCAGGGATCGGAAATGGGACTGTCTTCCCAAGCATCCCAGACACGAACACATTCATCAATCTCGGCTTGAACACGCGTCCAACCTTCTTCGGTTGTAATAGTTCAAACCTCACTGGTCCAGCACCACTTGTTGTGTACATTCCAAACCACCCATACACCATGCTCTCAAACAAGTCCACTTTCCAGATGGAATACTCGATTGCCGAAAGAGACGACGTGATTGAAAATGGATACAACGTCATGACAATGGGAAATGGAACCAGAAAAGGATATTCTGACTGGTCAACATGTGCAGGCTGTGCGATTCTCAGTCGGTCTTTTGATCGAACTGGTACCAATGTGCCGGAGGTTTGCAAAGAATGCTTTGCAAAGTATTGCTGGAATGGAACCCGCAACAGCACGGAGCCGGGATCTTATGAGCCTGCGTTGATCGTTGCGAAGAATTCTGCGGCCAAGGACTCAGCCTCTTATCTGCTGGCTTTCCTGGCGTCAGTTCTAGTGCTGGGTCCCGTGCTGGGTTAATAGGCGTCTTCGATATCTGCTATTCAGTCAACTTAACAATTTATTGTTCTCATCCCTGTCATGAGTCTACCTATGTATTAAGTCGTTATTTCTTATAAGCATAGATTATCTTTTCCCAGCAGTAATGCAATATTGCAGGCCCACAAACGTGAATTTAGGAGACATTCAAGATCGTCACAAATATGTATGGTGTCACTCAAGAAGTATACGAAATCCATGGGTCTCGAAGCTATGCTTTCTCGGCACTATTCTCGCTTGTCCTGCTTTAATTTTTTCTTATCCAGTTCTCAGGGCTCAAATAAAGTGAGGATATCTACTGGGTACCTGAGTACATCCATGGATATATCCAAGGGGATTTCGCTAAATTTATAGTTCGGGGAACAACGACGAAAAACGAAGTTACTCGTTCATTTCCGATTCACAATTTACTGAAAACATTTCAATAACCAAACTGGACATCGGAGTATTCAAAACCACAAGCTTTAGCAACTCCGTTGTGTACGTGTGTACGCGGCGTCACAGGGTTGACGATCGCCCGAAACCAGCGAGCGACCGCCTTCCAACACCAAGTCAACATCAACTACAATGGAGCCACCAAATAAGAAGATAAGAACCGACTCAGCCTCTCCGGAACCCGAGTCAAGACTGGAATCTCCTTTGTCTACATTACCCGAACTAGTCACCTTACACAAAGTCATCACCCCACCAGAACGACCTCGAATCTCCGGACAGGTCGCTTACACCGACTCCGAAGCAGAGAAGGAGAGCAATGAGCCAAAGACCAGCCAAACAAGCCCTAAAGCTGGCTCCATTCCTCCAAAGGTCATCGACTCTCCAGTTCAACTCACACACATCCGTGATCTTCCAACAAGCAAAGGCTATAATGTGGACACGGTGCGACTCCGTGATATCCTCGGGGATCCAATGATCCGCGAATGCTGGCAGTTCAATTACCTTATCGATGTGGATTTTCTCATGTCGCAATTTGATGAAGATACTAGAGGTCTTGTTAAAGTCCGTGTTGTGCATGGGTCGTGGCAAAGAGAAAGTGCGAACAAGATTCGTATCGAAGTGAATCAACCCTTCTTCACTATCTAGAGAGATTGTCTAATATACACCTAGGAAGCATGTGCGCGATATCCCAATGTCGAACCTGTCGTGGCATACATGCCCGAGGCCTTCGGGACGCATCATTCTAAGATGATGGTGCTTCTTCGGCATGATGATCTAGCCCAGTAAGATGCTCAACCTTGATTGCATGGCTAAATTCAACTAACAGTATTAGGGTTGTCATCCATACGGCGAACATGATCCCTATGGACTGGACAAATATGACACAGGCTGTCTGGCGCTCTCCGCTTCTTCCGCAGAACCCATCCTCGGCACCAGAGACAGACGCACCAATTGGCTCTGGGTCCCGATTCAAAAGAGACCTTCTCGCCTATTTGAAGGCATACGGTCCCTCCAAGACAGGTCCGTTGGTTCAACAGTTGAAAACCTATGATTTCGAAGCTGTGCGCGCTGCCCTTGTTGCCAGTGTACCATCCAAGCAGCATGCCAACGACTCCAATTCAGACGAGGGAACACTATGGGGATGGCTCGCACTCAAGGACCTTATGAGCCGAATCCCAATTAAAAACACCAACCAGGACGAAAAAGAGAGCCCCAAAAAGCCTCACATCGTCATCCAGGTAAGGCCCCCCAACCAGCTCACCAAACAAGAACCACCCATCTAATCAACGACCCTATGCAGATCTCATCAGTGGCAACACTAGGCCAAACAGATAAATGGCTAAAAGAAGTCTTCTTCAAAGCCCTCTCCCCATCACCACACTCACACCAAACACCAACTCCAACCTACTCGATAATCTTCCCAACACCCGATGAAATCCGCCGCTCCTTAGACGGCTACAATTCCGGCGGCTCAATCCACATGAAAACACAAAGCGCAGCACAACAAAAACAACTCGCATACATGCGTCCCTATCTGTGCCAATGGGCCGGCGATGATCCCACAAACGGCACATATATCGACCTATCAGGCGACGAGCCACCGAAACGGGAAGCTGGTCGTGCGCGCGCGGCGCCGCATATCAAGACTTATATTCGGTTTCGTGATGGGATGGAGAGCATGGACTGGGCGATGGTTTCGTCGGCGAATCTTTCTACGCAGGCTTGGGGTGCGGGGGTTAATTCTAGAGGGGAGGTTAGGATTTGTAGTTGGGAGATTGGGGTTGTTGTTTGGCCGGGGTTGTTTGGTGATTGTGCTGATGAGGGTGGGGAGGCGGTTATGGTCCCTACTTTTAAGAAGGATCGTCCTTCTATGCCGTCAGAGACGGCGAAGGAGAAGGGGGAGGGGACTGTTTCTGTTGTTGTTGGATTCCGTATGCCTTACGACCTACCCTTAACGCGGTATGGAGCCTCGGATGAGCCGTGGTGTGCTACTGCCTCACATGAACTGCCCGACTGGCGCGGACAGAGCTGGATTGTTTGATTCCAGTATGATCTCTTGACGAAATGGAACAGCTTCTATTGCTATATCGATTAGCCGCGACACAGCTCCGGCAGCATTTTATCATTATCCAATGGAATTTCAGTATATGAAGGACATGGGCGTCTAGTAAACGCAAAATTCTTTCATGGATAGTAGCATGCAATTGTATTCGTCGTATTCGTTCAGATCCAGAGCTTCAACAGAAGTAATATCCCGCTCTGGGAATCACCAGATCTCCGCATTTGATTCCATAATTCCCAACCAACTTCATATCCATCCAATAACGTTCTTCATTTCCTTATATCGATTCCTCGGCGTGTGGTTTAATTTACTCGCGGGTACCGTACTTGGCAATGAGGTTGTTGACGTGGGCGATGTAGAGCTGGTTAGCCTTGGAGGGGTTGTAGTCCTTGACCTTCTCCCAGGCACCGAAGAGCTGCTTCTTCTGTAAAGGTGGAGAAATGAATAGTCAGCCACGATTCGTGTCTCGGGGTCTTCTCCGCGTCGGGCGGGTGTGCATGATATGTTTGTGCTCCACCACCAACTCGATTGAACCCTCCACCCTCGAGGAAATTATCAACATACCTGGAAATCCATCATGCCAGGCTTCTCCATGGCCTCGCCCTTTGAAACCTTGAAGTAGATGTACAGATCCTTCTTCTCCAACAGACCGGGGGAAGTCTTGAGGAGCATAACAGCCTTGGCGGCGAACTCGAAGGCCTTGTTGAGGACGTCCTTCTCGGCGGCGTCGACGCTCTCGAACTCGCCCTGCTCAGCGACCTTCTCGTATGCGGCCTTCAGGGCGTCGATGTCGATGCCCTCGGCGGCTTGTTGCACATCCTCGGTGATCTTGCTCTCTTTCTTCTGGGCGGATTCCAGAACGGCGATGAAGGGGGCGATGTCAGACATTTTAGGTCGTTGGAGGTTGTGTGGGAGTGTAGTGTTGGAGCTAAGGTTGGGGTTGGAGATGTTGAGGAGGGGTTTGTTTGGTGGGGTGCTGACACACTCGCCAGTTGTTCCCGAGGTAAATATACGATGCAGAAGTACCAGTAGATATTGAGTATGTAGTATTTAGTATTTAACGTTAGTATATTAAATAGGACAGTAATAATGATAAATTGTATTGTACTCTTATCTTTACATCTCTATCACCAGACGCCCGCGGATGCAAGATGACGCGCTATGAATATCAAATGCCAAATGTACATCACCAATCCACTGCCCATCCATTGTTCGTCAAGAACTCCTCACAAGCAGCCTTGAGTGCATAGTTATTGCGCAGGTCACTGACAGTCATGGGCGTGCGAGTCAAAGGATCAACCCCAGACTTCTCAACATACTTGGTGATCCCAATGCGATCAAAGCTAGTCCCAGAAGGCGTAATAACCGGATCATGCATGATCTCAAAGGTAATACCATCGATCAGATAGTCCGGCACAACCTATAAAGCGCACAAAGTCAGCCCACACACGCTCACTTATCCCACCATAGACACCAAATAAAACAAAAAGAACCAAACTCACCCTCTCCTTAATCTCCCCCTTAGAAGAAACAGCAAAAGCCTCCCTCACATTCCTAATATTATTCTCCGCATCAGCCCTCAAAGCATCCCGATCCTCGCCAAACCCAATCTCCCCAATCTCCCCACGTTCCAACCGACCCTCCAACTCTTCCAAAGCCCGTTTGACATCAGCCTCAATAAGCCCCTCCACAGCGCCCAGGGTAGCATCCATCTCCCTTAACCGCCCGGTCTCCCTAGCCGCCCAAATCGCCTGCTTCGCGCGCAATACAGTCCGCGACAAATTCTCCGTCTGGGCATTCTTCGCCGCGAGACTCTGCGTGTACGCGTTAGACGCGACGTCATAGGCTTCTTGTGGGCGCTGGAGGCCGAGCAGTGCTTGCGCGAGGTAGTAGCTGCTTTTTAGGGCGAGGGGGTTTTCAGGACCGTAGAGGGTTATTGCGCTGCGCGCATCGTGTTCGACATCCGCCCATTTCGTTAGTTTTATTCGGGTTATTGCGCGGTTTGTGAAAAAGCTTGGGTCTTTGGGGTTTTTGGCGATTCTATGTTTGGAAGATGTTAGTTTGTGTTTGGATTGGGAGTTGGGGGTTTGGGTGTGATTTGAGGGGTGGGAGTGCGGATGGACCGGATGGTGCTCACGCTTGGGAGTAGAAGTCTTCGGCGCCGGTGTAATCGCCCTCTTTGAAGAGCTCGTTGCCCTTTGCTTTGAGCTCTTGCGCCATGATGTGTGACGGTTGGAGATTCCTTTGGGCTCTGTGCGGTTCTGGAGTGTACCTAGGTAGGTGGGGCGCTCCACAGTCACGCAGTGCTGATCGTGAAGGGTTTGGGACTTTGGAGGAACTTTTGTTCACGAACTAACTTACTGCGAGTCTGGAAAATACACCCTGAGGGTCTGAGGTACGTAAATTCAATTTTGCGAGAAAAGTGAAATTGACTATGTACAGATCTATGATCGTCCAATTTGAAATGGAAATAACATTGGTATCATGCGCTGAGAAAGACAGATCAGAGACAACATCTAAGCCGCGGTGCGGAACTGAGTTTCATAATCGGTGATAGCCTGGACCTTAGCAGCAGAGGCGCTCTTAGGATCAAAGCGGTAGTTGAGCCAGTCCGAGGCCAGCTTCTTGGCCAGCTCGACGCCAATGACCCGCTGGCCCATGCACAGGACCTGGGCGTCGTTGCTCAGGATGGACCGCTCAACGGAGAACGGATCGTGGGCAGTCACGGCGCGGATGCCAGGCACCTTGTTGGCGGCGATGGCTACACCAAGACCAGTGCCGCAGATGAAGAGGCCACGGTCTGCCTTGCCATCCTTGATGAGCTTGGCTCCTTCGACGGCTGGGTGGGGGTAGGCGGTCTTGTCGTCAGAGGTGTTGACGCCGACGTCGATGATCTCGGCGACGAGGGGATTCTTCTGGAGGGTGGCTTTGATAGCTTCCTTGTAGGGGACACCGGCCTCGTCGCAGGCCATGACAATGCGGAGGGGGGCAGACATTTTATGTAGATGTGTATATTAACTAGAGAAGATAGGGAAGATAGAGTGTAAAGTAGAGTAGAAGAGTGTGATTGGAAGTAGAGGACTCTGAACTGAAAGAAAAACCAGTTTTGGGAGCCTTCGAGGGGTTCTTATATCTTTGACTTCACGTACTTCACCTTCCCCAGCTTACGGATTGTCTCCGCTCCTTGGACCTGGCCTCGATATTGTTACGCGGCATATTTCAGTATCCAAGTGGCCAACCAGGCGTCATAGCACCATTACAGCGAGCTATGAGTGGTCAGTGGCAATATGAGGTTAAACCGAGGTCGGATACATTAGGAGTCCGTTTGAAACGTTACATGCTCCTTACCTCGTATTACACGGGATGTCGACCACCTACCCTGTACCGTACATACTTTTGTGGCTTCCACTCACTAACTTACTTATCGTCAGCCATTCTACAGCCATCGATGTTAGTGAACAAGGGGTATTCAAGCCAGACGGTTGTGGCTTGTGCAAGGGCTGTTAACCCTCCTCTTCTCTAGCGGCCAAGGACAGCCCAGAACCTGAATCCCTTCCCTGACGCCAAAACTTGGTTCTGTGACATAAGATCCTGGGCACTTATGCCTAGTTACGTCCGAGCCCAGACGGGAAGTGGTTGACCTCATAGGCAGGACTAAACTTTCAATGTAAGTGCCGAAAACCTGGCAGCCTGTAGATATGCGTGAAGACTGTGAATTGCCTCATATGCCTAAAAAACGAGTCACCCAATATTCGCATGTACGTTTATCTCCCCCATAATTGATGCACAGGCCCGGGTCTCGCTAGGTTACGATGTTCCCCACTGCACTCCACCAAGTGGGATGTTGTTGGTTGCTAGTAGTGACAAGCAGGCTGTCGCATAACCAGTTCTTGTGAATCTCCTCCCGATTTTGGATCCACAGTACGATCTATACAATTATGACCTGGGATAGGATGTACACAGCCTCTTTAGGTAAATTGTATAGACTTCTCAACCGGCTTCCCGCTTCCCCTCCCCCTCATGCCCCTCCTGATACTACATTGGCCCTCACTATCCCGACATTGGCCATATCAACGCTGATTCGTTTTTTGGCCGGCAAATTGTATTCCGAAGGTTTGCTATACCCCTGAACTAAGTTTAGCGTGACATTTTGGTGGACGTATCCAATTCCCTCAAGTAAGAGACATGGATTCGGAACATACGGAGGACTCGGGAAAATGCGCTAACGCGCGGGGGCATTGACAAAGGAAATTACATACCTTCCTTAGCATAACGGAAACATCGCTTCAATTCCCTTGAATTTCACTCATAGCAACTCACCCGAGCACAGCCAAGAGTTAGTCAAACGCCAACCCCAGACCCGATCCGTCTTTCCGGGGATCCCCTCAACTTATACTTTACAACACCACAACACAAACAACCACACCACACCACACCACACCACTAACAATAACCACCACCGCCAACCATGGAGTCCACCTACCCAGTCCTCCCCGAAAAGCTCCTCCTCATCTCTCTAAAGATGTACTTTACCCCAGACCGCACCCTATCCTACCTAAACGCCCTCCTAAACCCAACCAACGAGATCGTGCACCCACAAAACCGCCAAAAACTCCTCCTAGCACTAATCCCGGACTTCCTAACAATCCACCCCTGCGCCGAGATAATCAAATCCTACGAGGAAACCCTCCAAACCCAAAACATACCCACCAACCCACCCCCTTTCCTCCTCGGCGCGCAAGACTGTTTCTGGGAATCTGCCGGCGCCTACACAGGCGAAGTCTCACCGTCCTCATTAGCGGCCCTAGGCTGCAAAATCGTCGAACTAGGCCACGCCGAACGCAGATCAATCTTCAACGAAACAGACGCGCAGACAGCTGCGAAAGCGGCGGCTACATGCGCACAGGGAATGGTTCCGCTTGTGTGTATTGGCGAGATTACTGCGCCTGGCGCTGTTGCGTCTGAGGCGGTTGGGAAGG